CCATTTTCAATTTTTGTTGTTAAAACTTGTCGAATTACTAACAGATGTTCACCCTCATCGCCCTCTACATCAACTTTCTCTAATTTCATTTCATTTTCAAGTTCAGATTCGTTTTCTTCCTCTTCTTTTATTTCTTCATCATTTTCAATGTAATTATTTCTTGGTGGGTTGTTTTTTCTACAAGCCGCAGAGAGATGATCATAAAGTCCACATTTATAACATGGTCCAATTAATCTTGGTTGTTCAGTAGGTTTAGGTCCCATTATTTCCTTTCCCTTATACACATTTTGAGTTTCAAAAGATTTAAGCCTTTTGGATGTTGCTTTTCAATTTTTAATGTCATATGATAAGCCTCGTCAATTTTAATCACGTGGTGCAAATTCAATTGATCTTGGATTATCCATTTTAGACCGTTGATATACCTTGAGGCAGTTTTTTCTTCAGATTCATTTAAATCATTTCTAGATTGAAGTTTGTAAAACATTTCAGTGTACTCTTCAACATATTGATTTCCTTGTCGCAAGTTATTAAATTCTTAAAATATTGTTCGCGCGTTATCTGATGGCAAGAATTTTCCTCTCATTTTTTCTTTCATTCTTTCCCAATTTTGTATCTTTTTCTTTCCCTCGCCTTAGTCTATTATTTTGTAAATTTTTCCACCATGTGAGTGCATGACCAGTGAGTTTTAATCTTGCAAATTTGACTTTCTTGTTTTTCGAAATTTCTTTCTATTCAAAGAATTGATCCATTTTTTCTATCAACTCGATGAATTGATCGGGTTAAAATTTACCTTCAAAGTTATGGACATCAATTTTAATTCCATAATCCCAATTTCGGTATCACCTATTTTGGTTCCTTGGGATTTCTTCTTCACTTTCAGATGTTTGAACATTAGGATTGTTAACATTTAAGTTAGCAAAAGTGTTATCCATTTCGTTTATTTGATTTTGCAAATCTGCTAACTGTTGCATCATTTGTTGCCAATCCCCTTGATTATTAGCCAAGGTTTGCCATGTCCAAGCACATCCTACTCATAATCATTTGATGTTTTTCATCATTGGATAGCATAAAAAAACATAAAACACAACTATAATATTCAAATTATAATAAAATGAAAATAAGCCAAAATATACGTGCATTAGTCGCCCATCAGTGTACGACATTATCGCTACCCTCATTTCCAGAAGAATGAAATCGAAAGGTTGATTAGAGAGATGTTGGAGGCAGAGATCATCAGACCCAGCATCAGCCCTTTCTCTAGTCCCGTTCTGTTGGTAAAAAAGAAGGATGGCAGCTGGCATTTTTGTGTGGACTGCAGAGCACTCAACAAGGAAATTGTACCTGATAAGTTTTCTATACCAGTCATTGACGAGCTGTTAGATGAATTGAGTGGGACCGTGATCTTCAGCAAGATAGATTTGAAATCATTTTAACATTAGATCCGGATGAAGGAGGATGTACCCAAGATGGCCTTTAGAACTCATGAAGAATATTATGAGTTCCTGGTGATGCCATTTGGCCTCATCAATGCTCCCGCTACTTTTCAGGCCCTTATGAATAAGGTTTTCAGACCTTATCGCAGACGATTTGTTTTGGTATTCTTTGACGACATCCTGGTATATAGCAAGACAGAGGAGGAGCACTGGGAGAATTTGAAAAGGGTGTTAAAGGTACTGCATGAGCACCAGTTGAGGGCTAATTTAAAGAAATGCTGCTTTGCACAAGCCAGTGTAGAGTACTTGGGCCATGTGGTATCTAAAGAAGGGGTTGCAGCAGATCAGTCCAAAATTGAGGCAATGCTAAAGTGGTCAGTGCCGAAAAATCTGAAGGAGCTGAGGGAATTTCTAGGACTGATAGGTTACTACATGAGGTTTGTTAAGGGATACAGCTCCATAGCATGGCCACTCACTGAGCAGTTGAAAAAGTATGGGTTCCTATGGGGGGAGGCAGCCACATCAGCATTTGAGAGCTTGAAGAAGGCGATGACTATGGTGCCGGTCCTGGCTTTGCCAGATTTCACTCAGACCTTCATTATGGAGACAGATGCGTTCGGGTATGAGCTGGGTGCAATGCTTATGCATAGTCGTAGGCCCATTGCCTATTTCAGTCAGGTATTGACTGCTAGAGCCCGATTGAAATTAGTTTATGAGAGAATTAATGGCCATCGTTTTGGCCATCCAGAAGTGGCGGCCCTACCTACTTGGGAGTCATTTCATTATCATGATAGATCAGCGAAGCTTGAAATACCTGCTGGAACAACGGATGGTGACGGACGAGCATCAAAGGTGGTTGTTCGGGTTGCTAGGGTACGATTTTGAGATTCAGTATAGGCCAGGGGTGGAGAACAAGGCGGCATATTCTTTGTCCAGATGTATGGGGGAGCTGCAGACAGTGTCGCTTTCCGTTACTTTGATGCTTGACTGGGAGGCCATTAGTGAAGAAAGTGCTAGAGATGAAGATTTGGAAAGGATCAGGTCGGATTTACTGAAAGAGGAGGGTATCCAAGCAAGGTACTCATTGGAGGGAGACAGACTACTATATCGAGGGAGATTTGTGATACCCCGTACCTCGATCCACATCTCAAATTTACTCCAGGAATTTCATAGAAGCGCAGTTGGGGGTCATTCAGGAGTGTAGAAGACATGCAGGAGACTAGCGGTCGAGCTTTATTGGAAGGGAATGCATAGAGATGTAGAGGAGATGGTGGCAAGGTGTGAGATTTGTCAAAGGAACAAATATCTGGCTATATCACCAGGGGGACTACTACAGCTGTTGGCGTTACTAGGATGGGTATGGGAGGAGATATTCATGGACTTCATAGATTGGCTGCCCTATTTAGAAGGCGTCACAGTGATCTTAGTGGTGGTGGATAGATTGAGCAAATATGCACACTTTATTCCCCTCCGACACCTCTACACAACAGTGACAGTGGCTTCAACCTTTATCAGTGAGGTAGTCTTATTACATGGAATACCCGAGGCGATAGTATCAGACAGAGAAGGTATTCCTCAACCTTTTTGGAGAGAGTTGTTCAAGGGACAATTCTGAAGAGGAGTACAGCTTACCACCCACAAACGGATCACCAAGCTCTGGGCTAAGTGATTATCATGGCCGAATACTGGTACAACACCTCTTTTCACTCTGCTTCTCATATGACTCCATTCAAAGTGTTGTACGGAAGGGATCCACCCCACTTGGTACACTTTAGGAGTAGCAGTACCCCAGTTTCCTCGGTAGAGGATTACTTGGAGGAGAGGGATAGAGTGTTAGAAGAGCTAAAGAGACATCTGCTAAGGGCTTAATAAATTATGAAGAAACAAGCTGATGAGCATAAGGGGGACATCCAGTTTGAAGTGGGGGAGAGGGTGTTCTTGAAGCTCCAACCATATATACAGAAGACAGTTGCCAACATGAGGAATGAGAAGTTGGCTTCAAGGTACTTTGAGCCTTATGAAGTACTAGAAAAGATCAGAGCAGTTGCATATCGGCTAAAACTACCATCAACGGTGACTATACACCTGGTTTTTCATGTATCATAGTTGAGGAAGGCCATTGGAGACTACACAGCCAACCCTGAGTTACCAGCGACACTTACGGAAGATCTAGAAGTAATTCTGGAACCCCTAGAGCTGTTGGGGGTTCGCCAGAAAGAAGATGAGAATAAGGTAGTGTTGATCAAGTGGAAGAATCTCCCTGACTACGAGGCCGCATAGGAACCTTACGAGAGAGTGAAACATCAGTTTCCTGATGTTCACCTTGAGGAAAAGGTGATTCTTTGGGAGGGCGGTATTGTTAGACCGGTTCACAATGAACTGGTCCAGAACCAGCTGGCCCAAAGGGGGTCGTTGGTCTATAAGAGGCGGAGGCTTCCGCCTCCTCTGCTTGGTCCGCCAAATTGGGCGAGCCCCACTCTTCCAATTGATTGAAAAATTCAAACTGAGCGGGGAAGCTAGGTTTGGGAGGGAAATTAAATTAGGAAAAATCTTGTATTAAAGGGGATGATGGAATTAGATAGTTTTATGTTTTGATTGATTGAGAATTAGGGTTTCTTAGTGCTTGGGCTCTAGACTCTATTGTCTAGAGATTTGGGAGAGATGATCCTCCTCTCGATTTGAGGATCACTTGTATCTTGCTTTCGTGTTGGATTTGTTTTGTTTTGCTTATTGCAATCTATCGTTTTGAGGCTGATTTCGCCCAGATTTTGCTCTATTCTCGCTGTTTTTTCTCCAATTAGTGATTGCTTGTGAACTCTAAGTATTCCCTTAGGGTTACTTGCGAGCTCAAGTATTTCCTATCATTAGCTTGATAACAATCACCCTATCAATAGACTTACATAAAAAATTTTATCTTTAAATTTTCTATCAACTACTAACCCTAAGCTATTTCTATTGTTTATCTTTCCAATATAGAAAAACTCACAAAATTTCCCAATGTTTTTTTAATTTTTCACGTTTTTATTCTTTATTTTTTTTAAAACATGTAATATTTTCACTTCTTATATTTATTTTCCCAACAATTCAAATCTTCTTATTCAATCATCAAATTTTATGTAGTAAATATTTTTTTTATTTTAGATGTAGTTAACTCTTTTCTACTTTTCACCTTTATTGGGTTATGTTTTGGTGGGATCATAGTCATTTTAGGTAATGTTTTAGTATAGCTTTTCCTACTTCTCACTATAATCGGGTTAGGTCATAGCATGTTGCTTCTATGGAATTCCATAGCATTAATAAAATTCAAGTTTATATTTGTTTCATGTATTTTGGCTTAACCCTTATGATTGGGGTATGATTGGGGTATTTTGATTGGCATTAACACTTGATTATTTTGTTTTCTTAGGTTAGATGCACCATTGTTGTATACAATACAATTTGGCTTTGTATCTGTATCTATTTGTAGCAGATATAGTGAACCTGGAGATCTAGGCTTCTTAGCTGTTGTTCTATTAGTTACAGTTTGAATAAAAGCTATGTAACCATATTTTTTTTCACTTCTCCCAGAACTCAGTGACGAGGAGTCTGAAGACGTTTTATTCAAAGAGGTCAGGATGTTCTTTTAATTCTTAAATATTTTAGCTCTGATATGTATAGAAAGTTGCATCCTTGTGTATTAATTATTTGTCTTCCTCGCTGTCATGTTCTCCTATTAAGATAAAAAAAAAATAGAGTGAGAAAATCGAATCACATTGTATTATTTTTCGGTCATCCATGAAATCATAACCTACAGAGCACATCCTAGCATCAATAATGTTTCTAATACACTAGCATGAGGCACTCTAGCATTATCCTTCTGATGATGGAGACAAAATAATAATCAAAGTGAGTATCAAGCGGAGAAGTTATAAGATTTATGTTAGAAATGTGGTGCCCACCTTTTTATCTCTTAAAATCCTCATCTTAGATATCTTCTTTACATCACTTAACACTTTAATCTAAAAGCTTTTTCAATTCAGTTTTTAGTTTCTGGATGTGAATTGCCTATTCGTAATCGATACAAATTTGTAAACTGCTTGTGGTACTTATTTGAAACCCATGCTAATTACAAAATTGTCAAAATTTCTATGCCATTGCACTATATTGCATGTGAAACTCATTCTTAACCATCATGGAGAAAAATTATTTTGATATCCAATTGTCCTAGTTCTATTTTTGTCATTTGCAACTACTGCCGATATACATATGACAAGGATGGAACTATGCTTGACTACCGGTGAAAAAATTTTCCTTTTAAGTCCACAGTTCCTTTTAATTTTCCTTTGCAATTAATTCTCTTACATCTGTTAGAATTTTACTTTGGTTTGTTCTTTGCATTTGAAGGTACATTTACTACTATTCCAACTCCATTATAGTTGTGATTCACTATTTCTATTATTTCTTAATGACAACATAATAAGTAAATGGTTCGATATCACTAATAGACTCTACAATGCTCAAGCATAAGCTACTATATGAGAATAAGAGAAGTCCTCATAACTATATCTTTGAGGTATTCTAATCTGCTTGAGACCTATGAGAAGCAATGCTCTTTTCTTTTTGTAGTGGTGTCACCTCATCTTAAGATCTAGTCTATTTAGGTAGTTTTTTTGAGCTATCATTAACATATTATTACTTAACCTCAAATGTGGCATGCTTATTTACTTTGTGTTGTCCTCTCAAAACATCAATTTGTTAGAACATTTGTTGAAGCACAATTCATTTATTAAGGTTGGCATTTCTGTTGATCACTAAACCAAGTGATCGAGGTCATGTATACAAAAGCCTTTGTCCCTTAACCTCATATGTATACCCATTAAATATGTTAGCTCTTGGATTCAAATTACCCTTCTTAACTTGATCATAAGTAGGACAACTGAAGACTCTAAGAATAGAATAAGTGATAGGCTATGATGCACCTACACTTCTCCTCAAAGAGGCGTGCACTGTCTGACACATTATCCGACACGACACTCGTCCAACACTCCTCCGACACGTGTCGGACACGTCGAAAACGTGTCCGATTAAAAAATATTAAATACAAATTGGACACCATTTTATGAATTTTTTTAAATATAATTTCTTGTATTTGGCGGGATTTAAACTAAATTTCTTATTTCCTATCTACAACACCAAATCAACGAGCGCACTTAATACCCAATCATCGAATATTCTCATTTTCATTTCTTTTTGGCAGTGAAAGTATTTTCATCTCCTCTCTCGGTTACTGATAAACGGCATCGATGTCTGACTCTTGACATCGTAATACTAATCATTTTACGTACAAATTCTAGTTAAATGACTTATTATTTTCAAATTATTTTTAAATTATAATTATTTAATTTTTATACACTACTTCTTAAATATAAAAACTATAATATCGTGTCCAACCCGTGTTCGTGTCCTATATTTTCAAGAACTGACATGTCCCGTGTCGGTGTCGTGTCGTTGTGTTCGTGTCTGTGCATCATAGGTGATAGGATATTGCACTCTCCTATGTGTAAGTGACGCATAAGAGGTAGGATCAACCTATGAGCAATTATATGATAACAAAGTATGTAATATATGAGTAATGAAGAAAATTACACAAAAACAAGATGACATCAAATTTATGTGGTTTCTTCAAGATTACGTGCCTCCATTGGACAAGAAGGCACAATATCCACCAATGATAAATCTAGTAGTATTAATTAGGGCATTGATTATACACTTATTTTTTAGATGAGTGATAGAGAGGAGTGCGGTAGATCTCATTTTTGGGCCAAAGTTTCTTTAAAGCAAGCCAAGGAATAGAATGTAGTTATTACTTATTCCTCTCAACAAACCTCCAAGAACATAGCAATAATAAATCTCTCTTTATCTTTCCTTCAATTTTCCGACCAGCAGAAGCCCTTTATTCTTTTTTCCTAGAGCTGTAGATCCCTTTTTGCTCTTCGCAAACCCAGGGAGCCGCCAACCACCTGTTTGTGCATATCAGTTAGTGCAACACTCTCCATTTTTTAACCCCATGGTGTTTGTCTGCGAGAGAAACTGCAATGCATGATCCAACCTATTCTCGTTCGCTCTTTCCTTTGTCAGTTGTCCATAATCTTGCCTTGATTTGTTAGAAGTAGATAATTAAGATTCCAAAAGGTAAAATTTCAGGAAAAAAAAACTTTCTTAAGATTTAATATTATCCCAAAAGATGGATTAGTTATTTATGGAAATTTCATTTTAGTATCTTAGCCTAAAACGTATAATCCACCCTTATTAATTCTAGCATAAAGCGTATGGTCTATTCTTGTTAATTCTAGGCTGGATTCAAATTACCGGGTCAGCCTAAACTCAGTATGAAGCTATTTGAGCTCGCAGAAATGGAACCCCAGCTTCAACCATTAGCCTGCTCAAAGATAATCTGAACCCGCATGTTTTGCGTCTCATTATTTGCTCGTTGTAGAGGGTTGGCACTCCATCAGATGTTATACTAGCAGCTTTAAACAAAGAGAAGGAACGATTGAGTCATATATGTGCACTGTTTTTCAAAGGCACAATGATTGGCCTTTGTATTACAAGCATATTAATGCATATTGATCAACGGTTTTTATTTCAAATTTCCTTAAATGCAAACAATGAATGTTTCAGTCTGTTTTCTTTGCGCTATTGTTTGTTTAACTGTAATATATATCTTACTGCACCTTATACAGGCATGGCTTACATATTTTTGGAGAAGAGCCAAATCCCATGGTGTGGAAGAAGAGATTGCTGATGAGAGGCTACAGTTTTGGATTGGCCGTTCTGGTCAGTCCCCGACTTCTCATGATGCGGTCGATGGTGAGTTTTCATTATAAAAACCTTAAAATGTGCCCTTTATCTGAGCTAGCTAAAGACTGCCTTCTCTATGACATCGCCTAATTATTAGTGCTCGTATTTTCTTTTTTTAATCTACAAGCTAAGAGTCCAGATCTTTCTTGATAAATTTGTATTTTAATAAGCTTGGATTATGTACATCCAAATATCTCGTGAGCTTGATGACATGGTTCAAAGTAACTAGCCAAGGCTAGCATGAACATGCCATAATCATGGTGAGTTCACCTCACGGTTCACTCGGTTTACTCATATATGTAAAACCCAAAAAATATTGATCGTAGGCGTCCCACGCATTTTGATGCGCCGCAATGAAATTAGGCAAAATTTTGAAGTTGTCGGAATTCGACGCAATTAATTTTATTAAATTCTACATAAAACTTCGTTCGAAATGACATAAAGAACTTATATCTAATTTCACACGAATTTAAAATTAAAAATCAGCGAAGTTAACTTAAGTACAAATTAAGAATAAATGACGAATAACCCTTATGGCTCTTAATAGAAATGTTAGAATCAAGGGCACATCCGCACATGCATAATTAGCCATTTAAATATTTCCTTAATCCTAATGCCTAAGGGACTGAAATCATTCGGTCCCTCTTGCTTCCTTCGGCCGCACGTGTGAGAGAGGAAAAAGGGGCGGCGGGAGCTCCACGATTCCTACAGCGGCAGCAGTTTTCCGGTGACATCCTTGGGGAAAATTCAAGAGGAAGCCTAAGGGAAGGTTAAGGTATGTTTTAATCTAAAGATTTCTAAATTTTTTTAGAAGATTTCTTTAAGAGAGATTTCTAGGATTTGTTCAAAACTCAAGATTTTTAAAGAAAAATGATAAGGGAAGATTACGGAATGTTTCTAAACATGAAAATAAGAAAAATTTTAGGTTTACAAATTAGGGTTTTAGGAAAACTTAAATTTTCTTTAGAGAAAGTATTAGGGAAGATCTCAAATTGATTTTAAGCATGAAATTGGAATTTTCCCCTTTTTTCTAAGATTTTTAAGTTTAAAAAATTAGGATTTTTCCTAAGGTTGAAATTTTGTGAAAGTTATTAACAAAGATTGTTCCTATAGTTATTAGGAAGGTTCTATTGATGACAAATTGAGATTTTTATAAAAAATATCATTTCCCTAATTTTTAAATTTAAATAATCCGAAAAATTATTATGTTTAATTATAATTTAGGTTAAGGGAAATATTTTAACATGTAAATGGAAGAAAATATGAAAAATTTAGGTTCCCAAAATTAGGGTTTTAATCAAAACCAAATTTCATGTTAAATTACATTAAATTACTTAATTATAAAGTAATTAGAAAGGAAAAATATATAATTTGAACCTTACAAAAATTAGGAGTAAATAAAATTCGAAAATAATTTTATTAAAATGATAAATCCAAATTAGGATAATGTTAAAACGAATTAAGAACCTTGAAAATGAAAAATGTATTGTATTAATTTAGTGTTTTGTTTCCCTAGGTGTTAAACATAGGAAAGTGTTGGTTCAATGAGGTTTGTCAAGTTAACTTGCTTATTCGTAAGTGACAATTTATTCTCTAAATTCATGTTCTTATTGCTATTTTAAGAATTAAGTGTATTATATTGCATATGGCTTTAAGTGTATTTATGTTGCATTATGCTTTAAGATGTTAAGTGTATTTATGTTGCATATAGCTTTAGCTTTTCATAAAGTATAATGTTTGCATGTTTAGAAAACTCTACATACGTTTGCGTGTTTAGAAAACTCTCTTCACACGTAGTTTTACAAATGTTTACGTTTAGTATGAAAACTCTTGATCAAATTACGCATTTGTCTTCATTCACATGTTATGAAAATTCTTCACTTGTAATCTTATATAAATTTGCATATAGTCTTACATATGATGGTGAAGAAAGAAATGCATTTATTGGATTGAATGTATGCATGGTTAATATGTCAAATCACGTATAATATGATATTCAAATGATATGCGAGTTTGTGCAGGTTGAGATGGAGTATTAATACAGTGCATTAGCACAATAGGGCTCTTCGTGGCAAGAGGGCTCTTCGGAGCAAAATGATGATATATGATCAATATGAAATTGTACATGATCAGTATAATATGAGTACTCTGATACGGATGTATATATGATATCTATATATTGAAAGTAAAGTAAGGAAGCATATTGGTACTTAGAAGTTTATGCCCTTTAAGAGCATTTATTTCATAAAAGGTCCTAATAGATAGATACAAGTCTATTTTCATTGCATATGAGTTTAGTAGAAGTAATTGTATCATAAACTCTATTGAATATGAATAGATGCATGCATTAAAATGAATATTAATTGTTATATAATTTATATATCATGTATTATGAAAAATATATGTATGATTTGTAGAAAAACTGGCGGCCTCTTCAATACTATAAGAATACCATTGAATTACAGTTGTGTAACATGTTTCAGTCAATCTTTTCCCCTTTCCTTTGCAGTTGAAAGAGGTCTGTTAGAGCTAAGGAAACTGGGCATTGAACAGCGTCTGTGGGAAGCTTCTCGTAGTGAGATGGATCAAAGCTCATGAACACAAAAAGCTCATGTAATGTCATTTAACCATAATCTCTATATTAGTTTTTAGTTATTAACAAAAGAATATCGTTTGTTTCTTGAATGTCTCAATCACCTAACCGTTGAGTGCTTGTTTTTTTAGCGGCCTGTAGAGGGCTTAAAGCTTGCGGCAAAATGTTTTCTGGAGTTTAGGCCCTGTATTTGTAGATAATCTGATTTTCTTGAAGATCATTTACTCTTTCTTCTGTTAATGGCTATTTCTAAGAGCAAACCGAAGCGATCGAAGCAATCTTCTTTAGAAATCTAAGAAAAAAATATGTAATATTCGACATATAAAATTATAAATATAGAAGAAATAATTACATATAGAAGATATGAGTAAAAAATATCTTATTAAAAGATAGCTAAGCTACATGGTCCGGTCCAACCGGCTGGTTCTAACCGTGCCTCTATAACCCCATCGTTCTCTTTCTAGGCTCAAAAGCCGGTTCCAATTAAGCCAAAAATCTTACCATCAATGATAGAAACGATAATCAGTATAGAATTTACTCGTAGCGGTCCTGTAAGAAATTGTTCCTATAGAGATCAGATAAATCTGTAGTAAAAATATGCTAATTTATATTTCTAGCAAACAGGCATAACAATTTTACATTTTAGTAAGCTAAACCGCGGGTGAAAATAAACATAAAAGATGTCATTAAATCTGTGTTTAATAGACATATAATTAAAGAAGGTAGGAGAATATTAATATTTTTAAGAAATGCTGCACATCACCATTAAAAAATATATTTTTTTTTCTAGTTATGGACAGGGCAACATGATCTCACGTAACCCAAAATTTGTAAGAAAAAAAATAAAAATATTTATATTGATTTATGTCAAATGTTAGTTATTTTATCTATAAATTTCTAGTTACACACAACATTAAATAAAAATAAATACATTAAAGATGCTTTTTATGATAAATATATTTTGAAAACATGAACAGCGAAAATTATAATAAAGTCATAAAAAATAATCATTAAAAAAAACATAAGGCTAATATTGATAATTATTTAAATGCACATTTTTTTTAACAGGAAACCAAAATATAAAAAAAGACGACCAGCACTTTAAACTATAATTTTCTTTTTTTTAGAGAACATAAGATTTATTTTCACTGATTTAATATTACATGCATGCCACTTTATTTTATGCTATTTTCATATCTAAGACCCAAAATATTAATATTACATGACTACCAGTTATAAAACAAATTTGGATGCATGAAATGAAATATTAAAATTTATATGATTATATGAATGATATAAATGAATTATAATAATGGTATATTAATTTTTTAAATGTTAGATATGTAAATAGTATAAAATAAAGTGGTATGTAAGTAAATTTCCCTTAATATTATTAATGCTTGAACTAAGAGCCCTACAGGACAGTCTTCCCTCACAGAACTGAGTAATTGGATTATTATTCCATTGAAACCTCTTTAAACCGGATGCTAGAATTCAGCTCTCCTACATAAGAGCCTTCCTTTACAGTCAATCAAAGTCTAAAAGCACTTACACCACAGTACATTCTACAATAGAAATATAAAACCTGAAATATCCGGCCGGAAACCTCCACCGTATCAAACAGGTATCGCCGGAGTCAAAGGCTCCGGCGTGCCGCTGCTCCCATTAAGAACTGTAATGTTCCCATCAGAATCGACATCCACAATCGCAGAGTCCCCATCCTTTATCTCTCCAGAAAGCATCTTCTCAGCCAAACTATCCTCCAAAAGCCTCATAATAGCCCTTCTTAAGGGCCTTGCCCCATAACTGGGACTGTACCCTTCTTCAACAACCCTATCCCTGAACCTCTCCGTGACCTGAAGCTCAATGTCCTTTGCCTTCAGTCTCTCAAATACCTCCTTCAACATTATATCTGCAATATCCTTCACTTCCAGCTTGGTGAGTTGCCGGAACACAATCATTTCATCGAGCCGGTTCAGGAACTCCGGCCGGAAGTACTGCTTCAACTCCTCCGTGACGAGGCTCTTGATTCGGTTATAGCTGCTGTCCTTCTCATCGTAGTCGAGATCAAAGCCTATTCTCCGTCCGCCTTTCTCGATCACGCTGCTTCCAACATTGGAAGTCATTATGAGAAGAGTGTTCTTGAAATCTACAGTTCGGCCCTTGCTATCAGTGAGTCGGCCATCCTCAAGGATCTGGAGCATCATATTGAAGACATCTGGGTGAGCCTTTTCGATCTCATCGAAAAGGACAACAGTGTATGGCCGCCGGCGAACAGCTTCGGTTAGTTGTCCACCTTCGGTGTAGCCAACGTAGCCTGGCGGCGATCCAATGAGCTTAGAGACTGTGTGCCTTTCCATGAACTCGCTCATATCGAGTCGGATCATGGCATCCTCAGAACCGAAGTAGTAGGCGGCGAGGGCCTTGGCAAGCTCAGACTTGCCAACACCAGTGGGACCTGAGAAGATGAAACTAGCAATCGGGCGGTTAGGGTTCTTTAGGCCAACACGAGCTCGGCGAATGGCACGGCTAATGGCCTTGACAGCCTCATCCTGGCCAATAACACGCTGGTGAAGTGTTTCCTCCATTTTAAGAAGACGGTCAGATTCATCACTGGAGACCTTCTCCACAGGTATTCCAGTCCATGAAGAGACGATGTGTTGAATGTCTACTTCTGTGACAATAGGGCCCGAGTCGCCAGCCTCACTCTCAGCTTTGCTCACTTCCTTACCCTTGTCAATGAGAGTAGAAATTTGGGCTTTCAGCTCCATCTCTCTATCTCTCAACTCACCTGCCTGCAAAATGGGCAAAAAAAAAGTATCTAAGATGATAATGGCCAGTCATTCAAAGAAGAGAGGGCTAAATGAATTACTGGAGAAACCATAGAACCTTCTCGAAGTCCTGGCTGCGAACAGCCTCATTCTTATCTTTGGTGATCTGTCTGAGCTCCTTGTCGAGTTCTCTGGCCTCCTCAGGGAGCTGTGGGTGGAGCAGGAAAACAATGTTAAGACCGACTGATAAAATTTTTTAGGTGATATCTTAAAGTACATACCTGAGCATGTCGAAGCCGGACACGGGAACCAGCCTCATCAATCAAATCAATTGCTTTATCAGGTAGGAAACGATCACTGGCAGTACATAGTAATTCATCAGATTTAATACAAGGATATGGTATGGTCTAATTCTGCATGTATAGATATGCAACTTGAGAAATCACAACAATAGAAATCGTTAGTAAGAATCGAAGTGAGATTTCTCCCAACTATATAGGGAAATGGATTGATTATACATAAAAAGGAAGAAAGCTCCATTTCAGTTCTTATTTCTTGCTCTTAAATTTCTGAAATCGCTAGCTGCTGTTACTTGTGGGAGGAATTAATTCTTATTTTACCTATGAGATCATTATCTAATTCGTTGAAGCTTTGTCCTGCGGATCTATCCCAGCAAAGATTGTTATATCCTATTATAGGTCGTTTTATAGTTTTTCCAACAGAGGTTCTTAGGGCATCTCCAACCGAACTCCAAACGCTTGAATGGCGTCGCTCGCGAGCTCCAGCCGAACGGTAAAACTTCCACTATTTGGTTGCGGGTGAACAGTGGGACGCCAATATCGGCGTTGCAGTGTTCATCTTCGTCATTTTTCTGTCTCTACCAAACATGTCGAAGAAACGCGCAAAAGAAGTTAACGACCGTTACCTTCGCAAAAGGGGGCAAGATGGAGTTCGATTGGAGATGAATCATGGCATTTTTTAGTTTCACGGCATTTTGGAGTGAAAAATGAGATTTTCGGTCGGAGATGCCCTTTAATGTTTCTATCCTAGATGGTGGGTGTTGCTCTTTTGTAGATGTACTGTGATGTTTATTTAGGATTCCTTGTGAATGACTATTTCATGAGGCTAATAATTCTTGAAAGCCAAGGAACAAATAAGCTTTGCACAAGAGAAATGCAGAACAAACAAGAGTAGCAAACAAATGATTGTATGCCATAATACCCAGATTAAATTAGCTATAAAAAAGGGCATAATGAGGCATTGGCATTAAGAGAGGCGAGAGACAAAAATATGAACAAACCTGATATACTGGTAAGATAGCTGCGCAGCAGCAACGAGAGCCTCATCTGTGTAACGAAGTTTGTGGTGAATTTCATAACGTTCCCGAAGCCCCTTCAGAATTTGAATTGTTTCGTCAACGGTTGGCTCAGGTACTCTCACAGGTTGGAACCTCCTTTCCAATGCCGGATCTTTCTCAATATGCTTTCGATACTCATCCAGGGTTGTGGCTCCAATACACTGACATAAAGAACAAATTAAATCCAATATCATTAAAATAAAATAAAAAGAGGCAAGTTCCCATATAATAGAAGAAAAGATCTAATGCATATAGTGTCAAGATTCACAAGAACCGAGCGTATTGTTTACACACAAAGAGTTGTGGGATTTATAAACTCTATATTACCTGCAGTTCACCTCTAGAAAGGGCAGGTTTCAAGATATTTGCAGCGTCAATTGCACCCTCCGCAGCTCCTGCTCCAATTAATGTATGGACCTCATCAATAAATAGTATAATCTCATCACTTTGTTTGATTTCCTCCATCAGTTTCTTTAACCTTTCTTCAAATTCTCCACGATATTTTGTTCCAGCAACAAGAAGGCCCATATCAAGAGTGATCACCTAAATGATACCGGCAAAGAAGATAAAAAATTCAGTACACAGTCGAATACATATGAGAAAAAGGCATGAACTAGTTGAAAAGTTTTGAACGCTGCAAATAATTGATGATGATGATGATGATGATATATATATATATATATATGTTCTAGGAAAAATAAATGAAAAAATCTGCAACAAGGCAATGAAGGCCAAAAGGTGAAAATTAGTTAAGATAAGGACGTGCATACCTTCTTTCCTTCAATTGTTTCTGGGACATCACCAGTTGCAATGCGTTGAGCTAGCCCTTCGGCAATGGCTGTTTTACCAACACCAGGCTCTCCAATTAGGCAGGGATTATTCTTGGTTCGCCTACCTAAAATCTGGGTAACCCTCTCTATTTGCTGCTGCCTTCCTACAACAGGATCAAGCTTACCCTGCAGAGAAAACAAAATGGTCAGCTCAGGTACCAGGCAACTGTGAACAATCACATGAAGCAAAAATATTAATAAAAAGATATACCTCCTCGGCCAGCTTAGTAAGATTAGTGCCATACTCCTCAAGTGTTGGCATCTTATTTCCACTGCTTCCCCCTCCCACTCCAGCACCAACAGCTTCTGTGCTCTCACCAACCATCCGAATAACCTATTTGCAGGACAAATAATTAGACAATTTTCTTGCATCAACACTGACCACTTGTAACCAGCGTAAAACATGTCGAATAATCATGATGAATCCTTTAAAAAATTGTGTTGAACACTGACCACTTATAAAATCAAAACATACCTGTGTCCGAATATTGCTTGGGTCAGCTCCAAGGCTCTCCAACACACGGGCTGCCACACCTTCACCCTCCCGAAGCAATCCAAGGAGTAGATGCTCTGAACCTATGTAGTTATGACCTACCATGGAACAATTTTATATTTAATAATACAGCCACTTTACTAAGGTAGGTAAGCAGTATTTGTGTTTCATCCTTATTCACCAAAAAATACAATTGAGTATACAAGAATATAAGTAATAACAACTAATCCTGGCATATATGTAGAATATTCTTTCAACCCTAGTATACATGTTTGGGCTTTGGAAACACTCATAATAACGCTAGAGTTTGTCACAAAACCAAAGACCTAAACTCTGAAAGTAATACTAGGAATTTCATAATTTGGTAACATTTATTTCATTTGGTAACACCCAAAACTTTAATATTACATTCTTACTGCTCATATAAAATTTTAATATCAAATATATCACTCATATATTTCACTCTTACCACCCATACCACCCTATAAACTTTAATATTTCATTTCATGCACCCATTTTTATTCTATGGATGATAGGCATGTAATATTAAAGATGTAGGTGTTAGATATATAAATAGTATGAAATAAAATGGTAGGAATGTAAATCCCACAAATGTAGGGGAATTTACATACATACCACTTTATTTCATGCTATTTACATATCTAACACCCAAAACTTTAATATTACATTCTTACTACTCATATAAAACTTTAATATCAAATATATCACTCATATATTTCATTCTTACCACCCATACCACCCTATAAATTTTAATATTTCATTCAATGCACCCATTTTTATTCTATGGATGGTAGGCATGTAATATTAAAGTTTTAGGTGTTAGATATATAAATAGTATGAAATAAAATATAATAAGGATAAGGATAACATCACACTTACTTTAGGGTTTGCTTTTCATTTATGTATAGAACTGTTGCATGGACATCATGGATGATTGATAAACGAAATTTGATCGCCTGTTGAGACTGTTGATTGCTTCTTCTCAATTGATCCAAGTTTTATCTGTGTAGTTCTCTTTAAATTGTGTATGAAGAGTTCTTTATCTCAAGATTTTTGTGTTTAATTAATTAGATAATTAATTCCTACTTCAAGAATTTTAAAGTACATTCCCACTCTTAAAACTCCATAAAGACCTCATACCCAGCCTCTTTGACCAATTGGACTAGAAAAAGAAAATCCCACAACACCTACATCAATTCTAGTATAAAATGTTCTTTACTTTAGGTCTCTAATTTCTCTTTATTCTCTCCCTCCTAACACCAGACATGGCACAAGGTAACACCAGACATGGCACAAGGTAAAGAGAGCAAGGAGTAAAACACAAATACATTTGAATGAGGGCGGGTATCAGGAAATTCACTCTAACCCTAAAATTGATAAGAGGTTTTTGAATTAAGAGGAAATTCACTCTAATACTAGAATAGATAAAGATGTTATTGAATTTCTCTTCTTGCACACATGAGCGAGACTAGGGTTTGATGAGTTTGGAGATAATGTAAAGAGAAAGGGGAGCTTGAGAATTCTTGAGGAAAGAAATGAAGACGAGATTAAATGTTTAATAACTAATAAAGGACTCTGCCTAAGAAATTTGGAGAGAGCATGAAGAACTCTGCATAAATAATTTAGAGCGATCCACATACACAATTTATATTATTAATGTGAAAGAAGTAAAAGATGGCCTCAACAAGCAATCAAAATTTGTTCACCATTCATTCATAATTTTCTATACATGAGTTCTACATATGAAGTAAAAGAAAAGTCTAAATTACAGATGATATAACCCTTGATTTTTATAACATTTAATACAATCAAAAATGAAAATAAATACTAAAAAAAATTGTGAAAAGAGTCGAAAATAATTTTAAAATTGATTCGATTCAACTCTTACGTAGTCTAATTAGACTAATTATGATTGGCCTAGGAGAATGAGAAGATAGAAGTGGGTGGGATATTTTGGTAATGAATAGACGATTTTAATGGCATTGCATCAACTTTAATAGGAATACCAAGATTTCAACAAACTAAAGCATAAATGCTAAGCTTTAAGAAATCCTAACATGTATGCCAAAACTAATTGCACTGCTTTACAAAATAGGATAAAAAATCGACCTTATTTAATAATTTATAAAATTTTCAGACCCTTTAACCTTATGTTTTTTATACACATCCAAGCTATAGGGAGTTTCATATAAATTCCCCAATTTAAAAACGAGGATAATAAATGATGTGTGGGATCAGAAAAGATTCAATAAAATACCTAGCTGACGGGCTTCCTCCAGGGAGAGTTCTAGAACACGTTTTGCACGAGGAGTGAAGGGTATCTCAACAGCAACAAACCCACTGCCTCTTCCAATAATCTTTTCCACTTCTACACGAGCATCTTTGAGATTGATACCCATGGATTTCAAAACTTTGGCTGCAATTCCAGTCCCTTCACCAATAAGACCCAGCAAGATCTGTTCGGTTCCTACAAAGTTGTGGCCTAGCCTTCTAGCTTCTTCCTGTGCAAGCATGATAACTTTAATCGCCTTCTCTGTGAAACGCTCAAACATAGCAACGGCAACTCCACGTATAGCTTTGCCCTTTGGAGCAGAGATATAAGACGCAACCATTGAATGAAAATCATATCCAGATTTGGAATTACAATCTAATATATTAGAAAACCGCAATCCAGAATATCCTTGCAGCCTAAGGGGATGAGACCGCGGATCACAAATCATCCTGGCAGCTCTTCTGGACCCCCTAGAGCCTCTAAATCGACTGCTAGCCACACCGGCTGGAAGAGTGACAGACTGAACGCACGCCCCAGCCATCTTGCTTGCTGGATATGACTGGGTTTACAGTTATGTACCTGAGATCAGAAAAAGCATGAATATCACAAAACAATTCCTTAAACAAGATTAATTGATATTGACTTTCTATTTCTTAACGAAAAAATGTTATCTGAGAATGATTTATTTCATCTATAGCATGCCTCCCACTAAATAGAGAAAACAAAAAAATACACCAGTAAGACAAAAAGGTACAATCAAATCATTAGCACGAATTACACAATCAGTATTGGCAGTAGAAGCCATTTCTTTAGCTAAATCCACTTCTACAGAACTGTGAGATTTATCAGCTTTCCATGTACTGTGTGTTGCGGATCTGTTTTCATGATTTATGATTTTGATGATAGCAAATACTCCTATTTCTCTACGACGGCCTTATTTACTAACATTTCAGGTCCACATGATCAGACTGCAATTTGGAACCAGCTCAAGATTGGTTAGACTAGATCTTAGTCTGTTTGTACTCTTTTTCCTTTCTTGAGTCTATTGTATTTTGCTGTGGCACCTGATGATTTATAACTTGGAAGATTTTCTGATTGTTCCCTAGAGTTCATTGTTTTTTGTAACATCGTCCGGGACGATATTTATATCGGCCTGGATGATCTGTTCAAAAGCAGAAACCCTGATTAGGGCATCCTCATTAAAGCAGCCGTCATTATGCAAAACACATCGTCCTGGACGATTTTGTATCGGACAGGACGATAGGTTCAAAACAGAAAGAATCTGCCGCCAGATCTATATATGAATTACTTATTTTTGGACATCATCCAGGTGGATCTTCCAGGACGATCCAGGACAATTTTTCCAAAATTTCTCTAGAATTTAAGAAAAGCAATTATGACTTGATTGCACGATCAAATCGTCCTGGACGATCGCAAAATCGTCCAGGCCGATACGTTGGACGATTGGAAATCAGACAGCTATTTTTCAGGGCGATGTTCAGGACGATATTCCACGATTTATACTGATCGTCCAGGATGATAATATATCGTCCTGGACGATATAAACAAATTTCTTATGATCGTCTCAAATCGTCCCGGCTGATTGGGCTTAAATTGTATTGATCGTACATGACGATATTAGTATCGTCCTGGACGATATTGTCGGCAACTTGCATTAATGAGCTTGTTTTGAGATCTTCTATTTAAGCTATGACATGACACTTGATAAGTGTCTTTGGCAGCAATTGTAGCTTCGTTCTTTTGGAGGAAATTTGAAGAGAGCTTGAAAGGGAGTGAGGAAATGGTGGAGTTTGAGAGAGGAGATCCCGTGAGGGGGGACTCAAGGGAGTGTGGAGGGGGGTTCCACACGGTTGCTCCAGCAAGCTCGCACATGAATACCGTCGGATTCAATGCTTGTCTTGAGAGAAGTTCACCAAAGAAGAAGATCTCTTTGGTGTCAAAGGACCCGGCGACTCCGCCGCACCAGGGAAGGTGGAAGTGGTTTTGTAAGGGCTTCTCCGCCTAGCTGTGGGAGCTAAATGAGAGACACTTAGTTTAGTGCAATACTTGGAGGGTGCCTCCAAGGAGTCGACGTAGGTCAAGGTTTGACCGAACCACTATAAATCTGGTGTGTTCTTTCCTTTATTACTTCCGCATTTAATTTCCGCATCGTTGATTTCTTCGTGGTGATTTTGGTTTGTAGTTTTATTTTAAAAGATCTTTAATAACCAATTCACCTCTCTCTTTTTAGCCTTGGGCCAGTTCATAAGGGCCTAACATCCCTAACAAACTTTCAAGTGGTATCAGAGCACTTTCTAGTGTCATCTGAGCACTTTCATTGTGAAAGATGAAAATGACATAATTGAGGACAAGAAATACACGGTATTATACCCCCTAAATAGCCTTGGGATAAGCAAAATGTTAAAACTTGGCTATCATTACTGACAATTGTTGAGGTGGAGCTCTGGTCTTTTTTTTTTAGGATGAGCAGAAAATTCAAACTAGATGATTTTATGGGGCATACACAAATTTAAATGAATCACGTTTACAACAACAACAATAACATCAAACATTTATCCCACTACATGAGGTCGGCTACATGAATCATTTTTCTCCATTATGTCATGTTAAGAGTCAAATTCTCATTTAAATCTAATAAATAAAGATAATTTCTAATATTTTTAACAGTCTTTTTAGGTCTACCTCTACCTTTCTTAAATGAATCATGTTTGTTACTGAAGAAAAAAAAGCTCAATTTTTTTCTTGTTTAATTTGTGATTCTGGATTTTAGCATTAAGTTAAAAAAAATAGTTCCATATGCTTGTTTCCCATCCATTCTTCACCAAATGTATTATAAATAAGAAGAAATTATACGTCAGCTGTTGTTGTGACCTGTGAGAAATCAGATAGATACATTATATGAGATTATATAGGAAGAGATAATGTGCAGGCTGTTGTTGTGACTTGTGAAACATGAGAGAGAGAGAGAGAGAGAGAGAGAGAGAGAGAGATGAGAACTTGGTAAAAAGCAGAGGCAGTAAGTTTTAAAAATTTTGAGCTAGAGATGAGAAAAGGAGGGAGGAAAAAAGAAATATGCTATGAGTGAAAATAGAGGATAATTGCAAGGCTCTTTTTGAATATGGCCAGGGTGAGCTGCTTCATTCTAGTTCAAACGTGGTAGTTATTTAGACAGCTTGATGAAAGGAATAATTTGAACTTTAATACCAGCCTTGGAAGATATCAAAAGTTTCTATGCTAATAAAACAAGGTAGCAAAAATGACACATCACATATGACTTTGAAGAGTAGAACATTGGGAGAATCATCTGACTCAAACATTGATTGATACACATGGCATCAAAATTGGCACTTACAATTGAGAATGAGGTCAGAATTTAACTTTCGAAACATAAAGTTTCAAATTTGAAGTTCTTGGATTCTAGTTTGAAAACAAGGGAATCTGAAACTTATAAGTTGGAACTTGTAAACATCAATGCTTAGGTATCATCCTAAGTGGCACCCTTTGATGGTTCTTTTAATCATGTAAACTTTGTCAATGACTTTACCTAAATAAAAAATTTTGGTTTATTTTTAGCATAAAAATGTGAGGTCTTTAAGTTGGAACTCATATGCATCACTGCTTAAGGACCATCCTCAGCGGTGCCCTTTAATGGTTCATTTTATCTTGTAACCTTTGTCAATGACTTTACCTAAAAAAATACCATTGGTTTATTTTTAGAATAATAAATGTGAGGTCTTTAATATTTTTAGAAGATTAATGAACTTGACAGAATATGAGCCTAGTGAAAAATTAATGGGCATGATCCAATAAAGGAGTGAGGGCAAGAAGTTCAAGAGTGTTACACAACAAGTTGATCAATATAAATAGGATGATTTAAAACAAAACAAAAAAAACGGATGATTTAAAACAACATAGCATAATATAATTGCCTAGGCAACTGAATAAGAATCTGAATGAAAAAGTTATAAGAATTGTTGTTTATTTGATCAATAAAGGATCCTTTGTTCCATTATGTTATCAACTACCAGTAGAAGCATGGATTAACAAAAAGGTAAACCTTTCTCATTTGAAATTTTTTTTTGTCTTTCTTGCGTGCATGTGGATTCTATTGGCAAAGAGAAGTTGGACCCTATATCTATGGAACATTACTTCATGAGTAAAAAATGTAATATTTAATATATGTTTCATGCATATAGACAGGTCAAAAACTCTCATAGAAAATAGATGATGCACAATGCTTTATGATGCAGAATGTTGGCCATTAAAATAAAAGCATAATATTAAGTTAAGGATGCAGAGATGAGGATGCTCAGGTGGATGAGTGGCCTTACTCTTAGAGATGAGATACGAAATGAGCATATACGTGAAAAGGTTGGAGTAGCTCCAGTGAAAGGTAAGATAAGAGAGAGTCACCTTAGATGGTTTGGTCACATAAAACGGCGGCCTTCCGATGACCCGGTTATGAAGGTAGATGTATTAGATTTGACTTATGGTAAGAAAGGTAGAGGTAGACCTAACAAGACTTAGTTAGAAAATATTAGAAATGAACTTTCTTTATTAGATTTAAATGAGAATTTCACTTTTAACAATGACCAATGGTGAAAAAGGATTCATGTAGTCGACCCCGCATAGTGGGATAAAGGCTTGATGTTGTTGTATATTTGTTCTCCAATGCTTTCGCAAATTTGGATAAATATATAAGAAGAAATAGTGTCTGTTGCTCTTGTAATATATGCGAAGAGGGAGAATCTATGAGTTGGAAAAAGTAGAGGCAATGGGCCATAAAAATACAAAAAATGAAAGGAAATTAAGTCAGGAAAGAACAAAATGGAGAAAAGCAGTCACAGGTTGAGTGAAATTAAAAGAGAAAAACCATTTTGTTATTTTTTATGGTTATGGTTAATTGCTTCAACGTGCTGCAACTGTAATGGTGCCACGGTAAGTATGATGGTGGTGTAGCCATGTATAGTAATGCTGAAGGAAAGTGCAAGAATGTGGAAAAACCATAGTGATGTCAAAGGCAATTATGGTGGCACAAAAAAATATTTTATAATTGTGAAAAGGAAATACAAGTCAAGGAATTTGATACCTATTACTCCTAGTCTCATACTTCGTTATTTAGTTCTTTATTATACATATCCCTATATTTACAGAGTTGGAAGAGAAATTATGATGTATCATTCTCAATTATAAAGAATATATTTTTTGTACAATCATAGATGCAAAACAACTTCATCGAACTGCATTAATTTGTTTCTTCATGGTCAAACCTTCGTAACATTTTTTGTCCTCATTTTTGCTCTAGCCATGTTTTCCCAACAGTATTCCAAAAGAATGAAATCCTCTATCCCTCACTTGCAAACAAGCACGTGCACATACAACATGAGCGAACTCCTAACACCTGATAGAATGTTCAGAACTTAAGATGTTAAATGTCAATGAGGTGACTCACTACTGAAATTTAATCCAAGATCAGGAACTCAAGAAAAAGGGAAAATAGAAAAGAAATAAAAAGAAGAATAAGCAAAAGATATTTAGGCATTAACAAATTTTAAGAACAAAAGTAAGAAAGCAAAAAACAGACATTAGAATTGATGGTGGATAAGCAAGCATTCACTCATATAGAATTGTTATTCAAGCTTCAAGATATATAGATAAAGTCACCATGCATTTTGGCTGTATTAATCCTAATCCCAACTAAGCAATAAAATATATATGAAAAACCGATAGTATCTCACCTACTATGTAAATATGAAAGCAGTTATTCAATTATAAGTGCATTACATAACACATAACAGCAATTATTTTATAAAATACCTGCAATTCAATAGATAGCCTAAACAACAATGGCATGCCTGCTAAATCAATCAGCCAAAAATCGTAGACAACCTTCCACCCATCCCTCAGCCATAATCATCCACCATCTCCCACCCCCAACCCTCTTTTTGAAGATGCATAAATTAATGCTATGTTGATGTATGCTTTTTCAAGATGACATAGTTCTACGCAGGAACATACAAGTCAAAATAGATTAGTTCGAACAATCGAAAAAGTTCAAAAGATGTGGATTATAATTAGCAGACAAAAGATTGAACACACAATATACGATTCTTGTGTGAGTCATATAAGGACTTTCCTTTGCCTTCTTATTGTCTACAGTTTCTAACCTGTCAACTTAATGAGCCCTAACCAAAAACAGTACCACTTTAGCAGTTATAGCAAACAAAATCAGCCCTTGCAATAGCACAACATCTGCATCAGGTAGCTAATCCAGTCCACAAAATTTACTGGCGTGGAACATAAGCATAACCCTAGCACTTCGCACTAAAAAGAACCTAATAACAGAAAAACCAAAACCAAGTGCAACAGAGATAACATGAACTATCAGAGAGCATAGTCGAACCAAAAAAAGTGCCCTTACACAAATTGAAACTCCGTAGAACCGCATCTCCTTTAATTCTTCCAAAGTTAAATTTGAATAAGTAAAGAGTGAACCCTAATATGCTTCTCCCTTCCCCCAACAATTAAAAACAGTGAAGAGAAAAAGCAGCTAACATTCCACAGCGCATGCAGACCTCAAAAACAAGACCTAATCACAAGATCCCCAAACATGCATCAGATCTCCATATCAGATCCATATAGCTCAAAACTAAATCATAAAATATCACAAACACATCTATTTTAGCGACCTCAAATAATGAAAGCTAAAAACCAAAGACTACCTGAGATCCAATGGAAGAAATATATATATATACGGCACAGAACCAGAAAACCTTCAACAGACAACTCAAGAAGATCAACTAATCACGAAAAGAAAAGGTAAAAGGTAAAGTGATTGCGCACCGGTACGACTGAGAAGCAGGTTTAGCAGAAACCTGATCTTCCTCCTCCCCGAACTAATAATGGAGAAGAGATGGAAGGAAGACAGTAGAAGGAGAGAGCGTCGGATTTCTTCCAATGGCGAGATGTGACCCAAATGGAAGACGTGGATGAGGATAAGTCGCATAGTTTCCTTTGTCTTCTATTCTTCGCGATTTTATTTATTTCATGGATCAGGTTTGTATTTTTTTTTTCTTTTTATTTAATTTTTATATATATTTTTTAAAATAAATTTAAATATATTTAATATCTTTAAAATATATTACTTTTTATTAAATATTAAAACATAATAGGATCTGTTGCGTGTTAGAAAATACGTGGCGGTAGAGTTTGTAGATTCGCGTCCGAGCGTTGCACGTAAATTTAACACACAAGCGGAAAAGAGAAATGAACACCAAGGTTTTTACATGGAAAACCCGAAAGAGGAAAAAAACCACGGGGCCTCGCCTAGTTGCAAAAATCCACTAGTATTTGTTTGAAGTACAAAGGTTGATCCGTCTTACAAATCAAGACGATCAGTTTACAATCAACTTCTCACAAAGTTACAAAGTTCTGCAAATTCCCGGCGTTCCCCGAAAATCCGACAGAGTTCTGACGTATTAAGGCGGCGGGAAGAGCTCCGACGGTGGTCGAGGAGGAGAGGAATCGTCTTTTCCCCTTTTCCTTCTTCTCTTCTTCTTCTTCTCTCTCTTCACTTAAGTCCCCTTGGTGTAGAATGAGGGCTCTATTTATAGTTTTTCTGGAGTGGCATAGCCCGTAAATAGGCGTGAGATCATGGGCGAATTGGGAGTGGTCTGAAAGGACGGCCGATATCGAATCCTTTGATCATGCACCTTTCTTTGGACATTTGAAGCCTTTGATGATGTCAGAATTTGGCGATCTTGGGCTCGTTGGATTCCTCTCGTCGAGTCGCTCGATTCGAGTATAAGCTTGTTAAAATCGGAGACCATTTGGTAACTCAAATTGTGATTTGAACCTTCCAACAGTTCTTCGGGTCCTTGATTCTAACCCATTTGGGCTCAGATTGGGTTGAATTTGGTGTCGTTGGGTTCGTATTTCCGAGACGCTCAGTTTGACTATAAGTTTTCTGAAATCGGAGTTCATGTGCTCCCGAATTTAATTTTTGAAGTTTCCAACTTGATTTTTGCCTCGAGATTCGTGCCCGATCAAGATAATTTTTGCATGGCGTATGAGGATCATAATTAGCCACAACCATAGAATGGCTCTCAGGGCATCTCCAATATCAAAAAATCAATTTTTTTACTTCAAAAACACACCTTCAATAGGGGTGTAAATGAGTCGAGTCGAACTCGAGTTAGGGGGTGTTCAAGTCGAGCTCGACTGTCAAATATCGAGCTCGAGCGAGTTGAGCTCGGAAGATGAGCTTGAGCTCGACTCGTCTCATGAAACGAGTCGAGTCGAGCGGCTCGTCGAGCTCCTGCGTCGTTAGTGAATCCTGTTCCAGTGGCAAATCACGCTCCTGTTGCGAATCTTGCTCCCGTGGTCGAATCTCACTCATGCGTCAAAGCCCGCTCCCGCTGTGAATCCCACTCCCGCTTACTAAATTTGATTCTCTCTCCCGCGACGAATCCCGCTCCTCTTACATGAGCTACTCGACGAGCTATCGAGTCGAGCAGCAGAGTGTTCGAACTCGGACTTTTTAAGCTGCCGAGCTCAATAAGCTTGACTCGTCGAACCCGAGCCGGCATAACCAGGGGCGGATCCAGCTTCTTTTTTTAGGGTGGGCAAAAAAAAAATTTTTTGTGGGGGATGGGCAAAAATGCTTAGGATTGATTAAATGAGGGCAAAAAAATTTTTTGAGAGGGGGCAAAATACCCAAAATACTCAAAATATTTCAAAATATCTCACTAAAATTAAAAAAAAAAAATTTTTTGAGGGGGGGCATTTGCCCCCCCTCAACTACATGGGGATCCGCCCATGGGCATAACTCGGTTGCACCCCTAAGTAACAAACACATCAAATAGTAATTCATCTAAGGAGAGCGACAATATTGTGAATGATGTTCAGTTGAATAGTGCGACTTCATTATTAATATTACATTATTCACAGCTGAGAAAAAATATAAAAGTTTTCATTCGCAATTCAAGTGAACGCTCGTCCGAGCTACAAACAAAATATTTACTCAAACAATAATAACAACAAGTCTTTATTCTACAACTTGAGATCGACTACATAAATCATTTGTTCTTCATTTTGTTCTATTAATATTGAAATTTACATTTAAAATAAATAAAAAATATCATTTCCAATTTTTTTAGGTTCATATCTATCTTTTTTAATATAGATTAAATCTAACACATTTACTCTCCTAATCGGATCATTGAAATATCGACCCTAAGTTAGCTCTTTAATTTTATATGTCACTATAACTATTACAAAATTTTCACGTATGTACTCATTTCATATTATATCTCTATGCATGAAGCATTAATTTCAAATGAAGAAGAATTATAATCAATAATTCATTAATAATTTCATGGTCATTATAAATACTAATAATTGCCACGTGGCACACATGCATCATAATTACAACTTAAGAGCTTCCATTGACCAATTGGCCGTCACCCACCGCTCGTTAATTGCAGCAGTAATAGTTTTATAAATGTGTATCAATAAAAAAAATTATTAAGTAAATTACTGTCATTAAAGTTCTGAGATATTTAAAAATAGAATATCAAAATCTTTTTTATTCATAATTTTTTTTTTATAAAATGATACTTTTCATTGTTAGATTAATAAATATTTCTATTAACTCAAAGAAAATTTAATTGGTTTCAGGCCGATCTTCATATAAATTGTATTAGGAGGGCTTTATAAATGGTTGAATTTGATTTTAAATTAGTGCAATACAAATTTCTTTATATGACATGCTAATTTCAAAGTAAATGAGTTTAAAATCATTCTATTACAATAAATTGTTTCAGGATATAAGAAACACTAATCTTAATGCACTATATGAGATTTCTTATAATTTTTTTTCTTTGGAATCACTTATAGGTTTTATGCTCCAAGAAAAAGGAGGTCAAAGATGTAGATTTATAGAGGCTCCAATATTATAATGATATTATTGTGTTCCGGAATATTCGCGACGGTGGAGAAATACATAGTTTAACGTCTTAACTTTGTATGAAATTTCATCACACAAACAGATGAAAGAAAGAGTGCAGTATTCAAAATAAATATCAAATTTTTTATGTAGAAACCCCTTAAAACGGGAAAAACCACTAGGCTTGGTCCAGTTTGAATGAATCAACTATTATTTGTAATCAATTACAAATGAGGCACTTCCTTGGGAGAAGACCTTGGCTTGATGTAATAAATATACATCATATAAAATGCATTACATTATGGGACTTGAAAGAATCACAATTTATATATTTTTTGGTCGGTATAACCATAGTCAATGGAAAACGGATGTCAGAATGATTGTAGTTTGGAGACGTTGCTCTGAGGGATTGTAGTCTGGGGGGTGGAAGTGGTCAGAAAAGAATGTTGTCTAGCAACGGAGGTTGGAAAGATCACAATCTGGCCATGGAGGTCGGAAGGACCAAAGTTGGCGGACGACAATGGTCAGAAAGACCATTGTTTGGCGACGGATATTGAAAGGAACATAGTTAGGGGTGTCAATTTTTGACACGACCCGAACCCGACCCGAAAAAATCCGGGTTAGGTCAACCCGAACCCAAAATGGTTCAGGTTCAGGTTAAACAAATCCATCTGTTTTAAAAATCGGGTCGGGTTCGGGTTGACCCAGCAACCCGAAATTAACAAGAAAACTCATATTTCACTTTAAAACTTGAGATTGACCCATTTTTACCCGAAAATCGAAGACTGACCCGATTTTTGGCCTGAAAACTAGCAATTTTGGGTTAACCCCTGGTCATTTGTGTTCGGTCGGGTTTGGGTCTGAAAACTTGACCCGTTTGTAAAAATGGGTCGGGTTCGGGTTGACCTGAATAGTGTCGGGTCAGTTTTCGGGTTCGACATGAACCCGACTTGTTGACCTGAATTGACACCCCTAACTATATTCGACGAGCAATAGTGGTCAGAAATATTATTTTCTCGTGAAGGAGGTCTGATGGACCGTAGTCGGCTAGCAAAGGAGGTTGGAAGTCTGGCGGTGGGCGAAAGTCCGACTTCAGACAGAAGTTCAATGATGGACGGAAGTCCGACGTTAAATAGAAGTCCAGCATAAGTCCAACAACTTGCAGAAATCCAGTGTAGGGTAGAAATCTGGAGACCGGTGGAAATCCGGCATCATGTAGAAATTTGGCAATAGGCAGAATTTTGACATCGAGTAGAAGTCCGACGAAAGTCTTGCGATTGGCAGAAGTCCGATGACAGGTGGAAGTCTGGCGTCAGGGTAGAAGTCTGGCGATGGATAAAATTCTGGCATCTGGTACAAATCCGATGAAATTCTAGCGACTGGTAGAAATCCTACGACGGGCTAAAGTTTGACATCGGGAATAAATTCCATGATGGACAGAAGTTCAACGTCGGATAGAAGCCCGACGAAAGACCAACGACGGGCAGAAGTCTTGTTTCGGGTGAAATCCGACGAAAGTCCAACTACAAGCAGAAGTTTGGCGATGTGCGGAAGTCCGACGACGAGAGTAAGTCCAGCGTCAGGTAAAAATATGACGACATGAGGAAGACCAGCTTCAATTGGTGGCTAGTAGGTGGTTGTGGAGGAGCTTGGCGGCAAGAAAAATCTATGATTCTCTTCATCTTCTCTCTTCTTTTAGTCATTGCTTAGGGGGCCCTCCTTACTCCCTCCTTCCATGAGAAATGAGGAGTCTATTTATAATTTTTTAGAGTGATATTGTCAATAAATAGGAGGAAGATCAAGGGTTAATTGGGATTAGTTAGAGGGGACGGCCGATGTTGATTCCCTTGATCATGGACTGTTTATTAGGCATTTGATTGTATTAATGATATCAAAATTGGCGATATGGGGCTCGTTGAATTCTTCTCGTTGATCCGCTTGATTTGATTATAAGCATGTCACGTTTCAAGACTGTTTGGTAATCTAAATTATGGTTTGAAACTTTCAAATCCGCTTCGGGTCTTTGATTTGGACTCCTTTGGGCTCGGATTGAGACGAATTTGGTGTCGTTGGGTTTGTATTTTCACGACGTTTTGTTCGACTGTAAGCTTGCTAAAATCTGAGTTCATATGATTTCCGAATTAATTTTTGAAATTTCCAACTTGATTTTACCTCGAGATTTGTGTCTGATCAATATAATATATTTAAATTGAGAGAATGATATCCCTAAGAAAAAAAAAAACTCTGTAAACTCATTAATATTTTATACAAATTGCATATCAAAAGCTTTTTTTCTCTCTAATAACATAGATTTGATTGAAGTAAAATTATATAAATCTTAATATTATATATTTATTATATTTTAGGCTTCATTTGGAATGACTTTCTTACTATTTTCTAAAATAGCTTTTTAATATAAACTTTTTTTAAATTAAGACTTTATTTGGCACAATTTTGTTATTTTTTTTGAAGTAGTTTTTTAGTGCAAATTTTTTTTTGAATAAGAAATTTTTATTCTAAAAAATTGCTTTAGTAAGCAGTAATAAAGCTATCTTAAATGAAGCATAAGGCTTCATTTGGGGCGACTTTTTTACTGCTTCTTAAAGCAATAAGAAAGTCGCCCTAAACAAAGCCTAAGTAAATCGTGTACTAAAAAATTATTTTTAAAAATCAGCAAAAAAATAATCATAAACAAAATCATATTATTAGTTGATGAAAAAAAATACAAATAGACTAGAATAAAACAAAAAAAAAATGATATTCAATTGTAGAGGTTGAAATGAACTTGCAATTTTGGTAAGTCCAAATAGTTATAAAAGGCAAGCACTCAAGAAAGCCCCATTGGTCAAAGACTTGTGTACAAGTTTTGCAAACCAAATGCCCATTTTCAAAGGAATACATAATATTTTATTTTTAAATAGTATTTTTAAGCTATAGTATTTAAATTTAATTTGTGATTTAAATCCCTGGTAAGGTGTTCATAGTTCATATCATGCATGGCCAGTAATCTTAAGAATAAAACATTTCATTAAAAAAAATATGTTAATTAATTAAAATTTGATGAAATAAAAATCAATATTTTCCAACTATTACATAATTAACATATTTTCGTCAATTATTTTATATATCTAAAAAACACAATAAACAATAAAAAAAGACCAAATTGTCTTTTATATATATATATTTAAATATTTAAATATAATATCCTCTTTAGGAAATAAAGACGAGACCAAATTGTCTGCTCACTGCGGCCACAATAACTATTTCATTTAAAAAAATAGAGTCCTCAATTACTGGTTCAATTTTCTTCATTTTTTCATGTACACGATTTGACCCGCAACTGGCTTGTTATAATAAGATGTGGCTGGTCAAACTTCTTAGATAGAAATTTGGAAGTTCCCACTCTTGGACTAAAAATTATAATGCGTGAGATCGAATGCTGAACGTCGTTTGGAGACTAACTAGAATACACCAAGTCAGCGATACCGAGCCACGGTACCAAGCGAGTGGGTGAAGTGGAGCATTCTAATTGGTTTCCGGACGAAGTTCGGCATCCGCACAGAATAATTAATCTTCCAGATATGCTAAGGCTTTATTTATAGAGATATTTTTACGTGCAGATGTCAAACGCAATCGGAAGCTAATAAAAAGCCGTCACATCACGCAATACACTATACATTAAGTGACATAGAGGTTACTGATTGGCATCATGACACATTCGACATCCGCATGTAATAATTTTTCTTATTTGTGACAAAATTTTTATTTCTTTTTAAAGTAATTTTATAATACAAAATTTTATTATGCTAAAAAACTATTTCCAAAAGCATTAAACAAACTATCCCAAGAAAGCCCAAAAGGTGTCATCAAACTCTAGGCCATAAAAATTATGCAAGGATATCTTATGTATATACCATGTTTAATACTTATATATAATATAATAAACTATATTAATTTTAATAAATGACATTAAAGAAAAATAATATTCTCTTTTAAACCACTCGCCATTCGGTCCAAATGATAAATGAGCTTTCACCAAAAATTTAGTCAATTAAGACTAAAGGTTTCATTTGTGACGATTTTATCAATATTTTATTAAATAATTTGTTAGTTTAAACTTTTTTTTTTTTTAAGCAAAAAAATTGTGGTCAAAGTTGTCTCAATCGAAGCTAAATTTCCTCTTGTAGTTTATATATGAAGATCTCGATATGTACTCACTCCCTCTTGCACGAGAAATTATTTTGTGCGGACTCCAAACACAGCTTGCCATCCGGAGATCAATCAGAATGCGCCACATCAATTATACCAAGCTGGGTACCGAGCAGTACCGAACAGTACCGAGCCGGGTACCGTGCAGGGGGTGACGTGGTGTATTATGGTTGGTCTCTAAACAGCCTTCGACGTCCGCATAGAATAATTTCACCTCTTGACCAATCTACTATAATCCCCTACTGCCATCAACATATGAAGAAAGAAAAAAGGGGGAAAAAATAAAGAAATGGAGACTAGTAGACATCTTAAAAGACTAGTATTATATCATGTATTGACACTGATATAAGCTATTTACAAAGTTGCCAGCAGAAATACAACCAGGTTCATAGCCTTGCAATCACAAACACTTATATACCTCTAAGAAGTTAGCTGAATAAGGAGGCTTTGTGTGAAGAAGGAACAAAAAAAAAATAACGAAGCATGACTAACATTTAAAAGGTGAGTTTGAAAGCAATGAAGACCTGCAAAGACAAGAGAGCCGTTGTTGCAATGATCAATGAGCTTCACCCTTAAGCTGGAGCTGATCAGGATTGAAGACCAAGGAGATTGGTTTTCATCTGTTCTCCTGATTCTTAAATCCAGAGCTTGATGCAGATAAGTCTTCAACTCGAGGATTGAAGGTTCCAGGATTCATCTTCTGAACCTCTTCTTTAGTGTATATATAAATCTTGCGAACAATGTTACAGAACTCCCTGAATATAAGATTAAAAATTTAAAATGTGTTTTGAGTGTAAACAAGTGGTCAGATATTATTTGAGTACTTGATATGAAATTGAAGGTTATTATCTATGATGCACAAACACGGACACGACGACACGGATACGATACGACATGAACACGGGACACAATTTATTGAAAATCTAGGACACAGATATGATTTGGACACGATATTATAATTTTTATATTATAAAAGTAGTGTATAAAATTGAATAAGTATAATATTAAAATAAAATTAGAAATAACAAGTTATTTAATAAGAGTTTATGTTTAGAATGATTAACATTAGGATGTCAAGAGTTTGACATCGATGTCATGTATCAGACATCGAGAGAGCATACGACAATACTATCGAGAGTCGGACATTGATGTAATGCAGTAAGTATCAGACGTCAATGTCAAGATGACGTCTGTCGTCAATGTCAAGATGACGTCTATCGTCAATGTTAAGAAGACGTTGGACAAAGATGAGTTATCAAATTGTGGGTGTAGAAATTGCTAGTGTTGTGCATCAATGTCAAGGCATTGTCCAACTTTGATGTTGAGATGAATTTGAAATGTCGATGTTGTAACGACATCTGACGTCGATGTTCGACATCGGACATTGTTATAAAACCAAATTCACGACCCACCAAAGAGAAATAAAAATGAGAATATTCGATGAATGGAGTATTGAAGTTGGATAGGATATAAGAAAGTTTTAATATTTTAAATAAATAAAAATTTTAAATACAAAAAATTATATTTAAAAATTCATAAAATATTTAGTACACGCATGTAGAACATGAGTGTCCAATTTATATTTAATATTTTCTTAATCAGACATATTTTCAGCATATTCGACACGTGTCGGACGCATGTACACCACTTTGAGAAGAAGTGTAAGTGAATCATAGGTTATTATTGACTCATTTAAGGCATTACTGGCTTTTCCAAGGAGAGAGTACACTTACTGCCAAGGATCATCTCCAACAAGCATTATATCACCCTCATTGTCAGTATAAACAATCATCCAGTTTTGATTGGAAACCATCAATTCACCTCCAAAACCAAACATCTTATCTAGCTCTGCAAAGAGCTCATTATAGTCAGTAAACCTTGTAAGATCTACTGATCTCCCAAGTGCCATTCCTTGTTTATGAACCTGAAATGATTAAAAAAGAAAGTGAGCCTAGAAATCTGAGGATAATTTGGGAAATCTTTTTAATGAGGATATCCTGACAAAATTTACTTCGAAAATGTGGAGCATATGATATAACAAAAAACAGTAAACAAACCTTAGTGCAGCTTCTCATTGATCCAGTTGCAAGCTTCTTTTGCACGTCTATAGCGGATTGTGGACAAGATTGAAGACATTTCTCACGCACAGCAAGAGAAGAGGCAGAGTCCATGGATTTTCTAACTTTAGAGTGCCCAGGAAGCTCGGCGGGGCCGGCGTCAAGAACATGTGGATAAGGCAATCTAGCCGTTATTTCACTAAACAACCCTGCCTCTTCACAGGTGTTCACATGAGGCATGATAGGATTTGAATCCATAGGGTTATCATTGAGATCAAAACCAAAGAGCTTGTAATTTCCATTTTCTTTGGGCTTTGAAACTTCGTTATGGTCTGCATTGAATGACTGTAAACTTGAAAAAATTGTGTGTGTTGAATTTCCTGCTCCAGAAGTCGGTAATGAATGTGTCAACCAGCTTGATGTGTGTCCTCCAATCCCACAAAATTGATCATTTTTATGGCCATGACAGCAGAGCTCAGTGGTCTGTGTTGCCATATTTGCTTCCAAATTCAAGTATGAATGAGAAGGGATCAAAGAGAACTGGTTCGAAAGCAGGTTAAATTCACCTTCTTGATTGGGAAAATAGTTCTTGGGAGAAGTCAAATCATCAAAACAATGTCCAAAGTACGGCATACCATAACAACTCAAATCGTCGGACTCTTGACATCCTGTTAGCATCTGAACAGAACCCTGATTTCTCTCATTTTCATGAGATGAAGGCTCAAAACTGATTTTTGAACCAGAGGAATTGTTCCTAAGATTCACAGCATCGTTTCCTTCCATTTTCTTTGCAATCCCATATGTTTGTGAAGGCTCTGCATTGGCCTTAAACGCCCCTTAACAAAGTTTAAAAGTTTTTTTTATGGATAATTAGTAAAAAATGCAACTTTTTTTGGATAATTGAATCTTTTGTATAGGTATTAATGTAGTAATTATACATACCACCCTCTTTTGTGAGAACTGACGAATCTGTAGAAGGCGGCATGGCATTCGCTCGAGGTCTCTTGGGTTTAGATGATGGTAAGGGCCTAACTGGAGGAGGACTCACACCAGGCTCTATCTGCCAGGGGGAAACTCTCTCAGGACGAGTAACAGAAGAAGTTTCATCCCATCGCACCTAAAATCACATGAATGATCAACCTGTGTAATCAACAAAGTAACAGAATGTTCAAAAACAAAAAAGAAAAGAAAAAGCTACCTTTAGGCATCTCCATTTTGATCCAGTCCAATTGCTGGAATCCAAGCTTCCTATGCCAACTATGGTACCAGTGCACCTACGAACAAGAAAATTGGAGAAAGGATATCTCTTGTCACTCTTGGGATTCATTATAAGCAATTTGAATACATTTTTTTACTAGTCAAATGAGATTTAATACCTCTGCTCTGGGGCCTCTTCTCCTTCAAACTTCATCCTGAACCTCATTCCAATTGAATGTTCTTTTTTGAGAGAATCCATATATTGATCAAAAGGAATGATGAAATTACAAGGGCTTGTCCTGTTACATTGTTTCAATTGCAGAAGAGCAAAGTATAATGATCCCGTGACAAGCTGAAGTAAATTTTTTTTAGAACGGGGGTATCTACCCACTGCCACTCCAAATGGAGTGCTTGTCAGTGTAACTAATCCCTCGGCAGAACCCGCCGGCCACCGGCATTAGGCCCACACTTGCTTTGCCCCACTGAAAAGGCAAGGCCGTAGTGGAGGGAATTTGAACCCGGGATGGGGGGTACCCAACCGTGCTCACCCACCAACAGCCCTAAGCCTCGGAGGGTTAAAGCATCAAAAATCATATTTTGATTGAGTTTTATATCTTAATATGCTAACCTTGGTTTGTAGTAAACAGTAAACATTGCTCCAGTAGTAACAGCATGCCAGGCAGTTGCAAGGACCCCAAGATGCATACTATGGCTAGAGATGACTGAGGATGAAATATTGGTCTGTTGCCTCATTGCTCTTCTCACTCCCACCCGAAGTTCTCCATTTTCGCCTCTAAAATAACACACAACTTGCTTAGAACACAACCATATCAGGCATGATTTACAACCACGTTCCTGAATTGTATAAATTAATAGCTGACCTCAGGAAAATAAAAGCATCACCAGCAACAAGCCCTTTAGAACTAACAAAGACGCTCCAACCACTCTGTAGCAGATGTCTTTTCGGTTGGCCTGTTTTTTTTAAAAAATAAAATAAAAACTAAATAATATTGATATCCGGAGCAAGGAACAGATACTCTGAGTTACTATTGATTTGTTCTAATAAATTGCCAAAACTTATTAATAGTCTTATTTATATTTATAAGTTTCTAACGTTTTATAAATAAGATCTAAAAGAGGAACTCAGACCATCTACCATGTCTTTATGATCAACAAGGCAAGCTTCAAGATAAATAGCTAAAAATCAATGTTGCAGCTCAAAAGTTAGGACTAAAAAGATCAGAAATTTGAACTGCCAAACATGAAAAAGTCATCTAAATGAAGCAAGCTTCCAAGGGCTATAAGAACTCCTTAGAAAATTATACATGAATGAGCACAGAGTTGAAGGCATTACCGCGAAAAATATGGCGGAAACGCCACTCAACCCCATGCAAATCATAGGCCACAAGCTCCTGGCTTGGAGGCTGTCCGTTCATATCCTGATTAGCATAGCAAAATATTTATCAATAGACTAAAAGAATAAACATCTATTGATATAGTATGATCAATATCATCCAATGATATCACAGTTAAAAGATCGAACCAGGGGAGGAAGACACTCATCAGCATGGCGTCTTAATACAGAGAAACCCCCATGCGTACTGGTATCCGAAGCAGTAAGAGTCTTGCAAAATGAATGGACATTAGATCTTGGAGGAGGCAGCGGCAATGGCTCCTTATCCACAGCTTTTTCATCTTGCTGAAAGCTCGCCAAAAACCAAATTAATAACAAGTAATTTCATCAGCTTACACACAGTCTACATGTATTTGAACTACATAAGCTCTAAAATCGAACGGGAACAGAGAGGTGTGAATCCAAACCCTTACATTGGGCTCAGGAAATAGAGTTATCTGAGCAAAAACCTCATCAGTATCCCGCTCAGCCTTCATCAACAAAAGCCCTCATTAACAAAGATAATTTTTTGAAGACAAAAAGAGGATTTTGCAGAAGGATTAGATACCTTCAAATCGACATTAACCACGCGGCAAAGGATCTTGGACGGGAGGTCGTAGATAGGCATCTGCTGTTCAACCATCTGATTCGTAGAAGCCTCCATCTGCAAAGCCGCGAAGCTAAAATTAATTTCGCGAAAGTCGAGAAGAAGGAACAGAAATCGAATAGAGAAGAACCGAAGCAACCTGCTCGATGTGACCCTGCGGGAAATAGAACACCAGCTCCCCCGTACGAGGAACAGTTACCAGAGGACCGGCGCAAGCATACCAGAGCTCGTTGTAGAGTTCGTCCTCCATCTCTGAGGACATAATCAAAATCTATTAGTCCAATTTCCCGATAGGATGCCATAGATCGAGAGAAAGAGCAACCGACTGGACGCCGGCAGCTTTGGGGAAGTACAGGAGACGCACACCTTTTACGGCGGGCGGCTGGCCGGAGAGGTCACTGCAGGAAGACGAAATGCTGTCCTTTCCGCCATTTCCGCTGCCGGCAAGCTTCACGGAGGCGTCTGACGACGCCATCTTGCGGGAAAGGCTTGATATCTCACATCCACTAGGTGGAAAACAAGAGGTCTTGGATCTCCCGATTTTCGGTACCGGCAAACCACAGAAGTCGAATCGGAGAAGAGAAAAACAGTAGAAAGGCAGTATAAATCAAGAAAGGTCGGATTTTGACAACGCAATGTCGGGGATTTGATCGTCCGCTTCACTTTTCCACTCGAAATCGCTCGAAATCGCCAATCTTCTTCTCGCTAGTGGAAAGCCTGGAAGGAGCTGTAGAGAGGAGAGAGAGAGAGAGAGAACGTACTAGGGCTGGCAATTTTATTCCAAGTTCTCGATTTGTGAGCCTATCATCCTTAGTTTAATTGTTAAATATTTTAAAAATCATTGTTAAGGTACTCAGTTTAAATCCATACTATATCGATTTTACTGTAGATACTAATTGAATAGTTATTATTTAGAGGACATTCAACTATATATTTAATATTTATTATATAAAATATGTCTTTTTTAATATATATATATTAAAATTTAAATTTTATAAAATTTTAAACTGTAAAAAAAAAACTCTTATATTTAAAAGTTACAAAACTGAATTTTTAAGAGTTTAAATTTCTATGCGGTTAAATTTGATACCTTTTCATCCATTTAAGAATCTCATAATGCAAAGATTTACTATAATTATATTTTTATTTAAAAATTTTGTATTCAAATTATCTTCTGCTGAGGGTGAAAGCAGCGAAAAAGTGGCGCGTGACATGGGCTCCAGATGTGGGACCCGCATGTGTAGCCTGCACAGCCGGCAGTGGCTGGTCCTCGTGGCCTGGTCCCCGCGGCGCCGGCCCACGGGACAAGCCCGGCCCGATCCGACAGAAGTCCCCAAGCCGCCATGCCCTGTTGATCCCTCAACCGCAGACCGTCTCCCACGTGCGTTCTCCCACGTGCAGCCACCCACACCGCTCATCTACTGACCACGTCACGTGCTGGCAGAGATCAACGGCCGGATCCTCTCGCATAATCAGCAGCGGATTATTATACCATATCCTAGTACAGAACTGAACCGGGCCGAGAGGATGCACATTATTTATTTTTAAATTTAAGAGCAGTATTAAATTTAATTAATAATAGAAAATAGTGAGATCTACAAACATAACACCCAAAATCAAAAATATTATGGTTTATATATTTATCACTTAAATTTTATAATTTACTTTACCTAAATACTTTATTAATAGAGTTAATATATCTTGTTGAATATAATGAGAGAAGAAATAGACTGCCGCAATGTTCAAGACATCAGCTTCATTTATGAGAATTTTCTTGTTGCTTTCTAAAAAAAAAAAAACTTCATTTATGAGAATTTTCTTGTTGCTTTCTAAAAAAAAAAATTCAGTATAAAAATTTTTTAAACTAGATTTTTTTTGTTTAAGAGAACATATTATGATATTTTATTATGTCATAGGTCAGCCTGATCCAGTGTATTTTCTTCAACATCAAAAGATTATTTTGAAGTATGTACTCAGCAATTAGGAGACATGGATGGCCACTTGAAAATTCGTGGATAGGGCTGCAAGCGAACCAAGCGTTCGACGAGCAACTCGATGCTCGGTTCAATTAAAGCTCTTTTGTGATCGTTTAACTAACTAAACAATATTTTAAATACTCGATAATTAAATAAACAAGCTTGAACACTAATGTGTTTGGTTCATTTATGTTCGCGAACAACATCATTTGAAGTTTGTGAACAAGCTCGACATTAAGCTCGATAAGAAGCTTGATTAATTCGTGTTCGATTTTGAACTCGTGAATAAGCTCGTTAAAAAAAAAATATTAATATTTGATTATAGAATTAATAAATATAAATAATATAAATGAATAAACTCGTGAATAAGCTCGATTGTGGAAGTGATTGGTAACGTAATTTATATAGTATAAAGAGAAAAGCCAAAGTATAATAATTATTTTAAATTGTTAGTTGGTGAAAACATTCTTTACAATTCCTAATTTATTGTATTACATCTTGCAGACTAGAGAGGAAACTAAGGAGATCTCATTGGTTTAATAAGGAGCGGAGTTAATTTTGTGAAGATGGGATTTGCTTGTAAATCATTGCCTTTGTTAAGAAAATTGTTTGTGTGCTGGATCTTCGTACAATGCTAAGACGTTAAACTAAATATTTCTCTACCGTCACGAATACTCCTGGACGCAACACTTATAAATCACTGTCTTTGTTACATAGATGATTGTTTTTATTATAAATGTGTTTGTTCATAGATATGTTCATGAACATGTTTGTTTGATAGTTAAAAAAAATCGTTAAATATGTTTGCGAACATGTTCGATGTAATCGTTTGTTAGGAAGCTCGATAAAACTCGTTTGTTAAGTTAATACACATCTAAAAGTAGAACTCGTTTATAGCTCGTTCATGTTTGTTTGTTTAAAGCTCGATAAGCACTAAACCAACGCACATGAACTGAACATGAACCAAATATGAACACTCATTTATTTAAATGAACCAAACATGAATACAAACAATAAAGCTCGAACAAACATGAACCAAATTTGAACAACCTTCTATTAAATGAACACAAACATGAGCACTCACATACTTGGCTCGGCTCGGTTCATTTGCAGCCCTATTCGTGGATCCAGGTTCTTTTAAACCTAACATAAAAAAGTATATTTTAATGATGATTGTGTATGGGATTTCCTCTTTCATCAGCTCCAAACTTTTTTAGCTTAAAAAATTTGCAATTCTTGTTAATGATTACTTATGGGGTCATCCATGGCTCCGATCTATCTTAAACTTAGAAAATCCTATAACTCCCTGATGACAACTAATAACAACACTTCTCCTAGCTCTATTCTCCCCAAACTTTGAAAATGATGAACCTTCAATTGTCTCGAAAGGATACTATTGTGATCATATCCAAAATAAATTTAACTAGTCGTTATACTTGTCAGCGATGAACATTAAAAATCACACCGTCAAATTATTAAATTTTGGTGAGAAGACAAGCCGTCGGTCAAACCTAATTGGCCAATGTGGACTAGGAATGACCTAAATGATCAACAATACTTATGATGCTAGTCTAATGACGCTCATAGACAATAATATCTCATATTGAAAAATTAATTATACTATAATATAAACCTTGAAGTAACAAATCTAACAACAAAAGGTGATAGTTCAATGTTATGGCTATTAGATTAAAAGGAACAATTTCAAAAAAAAAAAAAAAAAAAAATTCAACTCTCATTAGGCAACCTAATAATGAGACAATATCTAATCTTTTTAATATCAAAATATTCATATTCTTAAAACTAATTATTTGTCATAATATGACCCATCAAAGAGAATATGTAGGGTTACCAGTGACCGCAAAAAAGTCAATAACTCACTTGAAAGCAGTAATAGTGTAGCAACAAAATCAAATATTAACAAAATGTTTTTCTTGCTAGAGAGATTCGAAGAGGAACATAGGCATTTTTCTTTTTTTAATAAAGGAATTCAACATAAATTTATTTTTCTATCTTAAATATAACAATCCTCCTAAAAAATTAAAAATAAATAAATATCTAAATAATTATTAACACTTGGAGTAAAAGACAAAAAAGTTCCTTTCATTGTTGTCGGAAGATAAGTGAACATTAGTGTTGTAATCATGGGATAATGATAGGTGTGATTAATTAGTATTAATAAAACGCCATTAGTGACATTATACCTACCGCAAAGGATAATTATCTTTGGCTAAGATAAGCTTAATTAATCCAATTAATTACTCAAACGCGCTTTATCTTTTTAATAATTTAATTCAAAAAAAGCATTAATATTTTAATTGCAGCGAATAAATTTCATGCCAATTGTAGCCTTGAAATTTAGGATTATTACATCTACATTTTATTTGAACTCAATATTATAATTTACAAATATTAATTTATTTTACAATTTAATTATAAATTATCATTTTTATCCTTAATATTGACACATTAAAATTAAATTAATGCCGACCAATCTAAAACTTATATTAATACATAAGATAGAACCGCCCACTGATATATAAGCACCCATTAATCATTATCATGCTAAGAAAGAATTTTCTTTTTTTTTTAAGAAAAATTAAAGCTAATTCATTGATTTTAGGAATATATATATTTTAGGAATATATATATATTCTTATTAATCATATTCTTCATGATTTTAATGGTAGACGACAACGAATTTATTTTGCATAATATCAAAATAATTGTATAAAAAGGCATAAAATTTATGAAAAGATATCGTAATGCAATTTAGATTTGGTCAAATTTTTACATTAAGCATCATCCGTAGCATAATTAATTCATTAAGCACGCATAAAAAATTTAAAACTAGGCATAATCGTTCGTTAAACGGGTGATTAGCTATGAGTATGTAAATCACCCCGTTAACGAAAGATTAGCTATGAGTATGTAAATTACCCATTCAATGGGTGACTTTCTTATGCTTTGTTAATCGCTCATTAAACATACGATTATGCCTACTTCTATTTGTTTTCACGTGTTTAATCACCTAATTATAATACTAATGATGTTTAGTGTAAAAAAATTTGCCTTTTATATATTTTTTAATTTTTTTATGATGACTAAAATTATGTAATATGATAATCTAAGAACAAATTCAATGAATAAATAAAATTATTCATATCAAATTTATGTCGGGATATGCCGACCCAATTTTTTTTTTCTCTAAATTAGACTTTACATATTAAATAGTTTATCATTGAGTTCAAGGGCAAGAGATAACGCAGCCTTCACGCATAAGGAATAATAATTTATTGTGAGAAGAATGGAATATCCTCATCTCTTCCCTAATTTGGTTTACTTTGCTTTCCCATTATTTTCTCTGTAAAGGGGATATTATTATCTGTTATGAAAGTCTCTGCTGAACTCCTTAAAAGCTGAGGTTGGAAGAACTCAATTTCAATGCCAGCTTAGTTGTGTTTTGGTGGTGACAGATGAGAGTCATTACTCAATTTTCTAGTATGAGAGCCTACTTTTTATCCATGATTATTTTAATATAATTTCAAAATCTTATGGTCAAATCTTAGAAAATGCACATTTAGAAAATATTATTGTTGATGTGCTATCAACATTGATATGGTATAAAAATTTGATTCATATTTCAAAGCAGACATAAAAGTTTGAATTGACAAGTTCCAAATTTGATTTTAGGGTTTAAATTGTATAAGTTTATAATTGGTGCAATCGTCGAATCATGCTGATTTTGATAATAAGAACGATTGAATCTTAGCTGGATCGACTCGGGCCTTCCACCTCCTTCATCACGT